GAGGCCGCCCAGGTATCGGAACTCGGTCGTCTGTGCGTACCTTTGCCCCGCTGCTTCGATGGTCAGCGGCGGCGGTGGCGTCGGCGGCGGTCGCTGTTTCTCCTTCACCCGCATCACCAATGTCTCCGTCTTCCTCTCCGACACCGTCAGCCCGAACTCCCGGAACACCTCCACGATAATGGTCATCATCCTCGCCAGGCCGTCGGCGGACTTCGACACAATGCCGGCATCGTCGGCATATAGCATCCCCCACACCGCCCTCCGAACTCGGTCCAGCAATGTCCTCCCCCCCCCTTCCTCCTCGTTCAGGTATACTAGGTCCCGCATGATAACCTCATCCTTGCTGAACCGTGTGACAATGACCTCGAGAGGCGCGGCGAAGAAGACGTTGAACAGCAGTGGGGACATTGAGCACCCTTGTCGTGTGTGTTGTTGTAAATGCACCTCGAGGCCCGTCGTTACGCAGCAACCATTCATTCCGCATCATCGTGACAGAACGAGACACCACCTGACGCGCCCGCGGCGAAAATTTGCCAGTACTGGCACAGGAAAACCGCGTGCCAGTAGCTCGGTACAGCGACCTAGGCCTACCCACTGCACCACAACCTAGCTTGGGGTGTTGGGTTTGGGTTAGGGTTAGGGTTAGAGTTAGGGTTAAGGGGTGGGTTAGGCCTAGTGAGGCCTAGCGCCTTGGTGCTGCCTGAGGGCTGGAAACCCGCTGTGGCTTTGGTTTCGTGTCTACCTCCAACCACAACCCAAAAATTGTTGAACTGGCGAGCGGTTTTTCTGTGCCAGCACTGGCAAATTTTCGCCGCCCGCCTGACGCGAACCCCTTGGAGGACCATTATAGAACGGTTTTCTGAGGCAAGCTGCGTTGCCCATCGCAAACGTGCCTTGGGTTCATCGGCTTGGAAATAGAGGAAGAACGTACGGACGGATGGTAAACGTGCGTCGCCGGCGTCCGTTTGACAACGTGCCCATGTGAAGGGGGCGCCGTATCCTCTGATCACTGAAATAAATCTAATCTTGGGCTCCACGAAGCAGCTCGCGAAAATTAAATGTGGCAAACATTAAACATCTGTCATTTGAAGCACAATGACGAGCAAGGCACAACGAAGCACAGAGGACAGTACGTGGAAACAACACAGCTATGATGTAGCGACAACAAAAAAACTCGCTCAAAACCGGACAGAGCGACGGATAGTGTTCGACGGCATCAACAGTGTCAAGCCTCAAGAATGGCTCGGGAGCATCCCCCAGATCGAGATCGGAACGTTTTTTTTTTTTGTGAACACAACCAACAATCCCCCACAAGTGATGGCACACTCGTACAGCCTATTGATCTTCAGTAGTGCTCAAGAAGCCAAAGAAATTTTTGTGCCTCCCCTCCCCTGGAAGGGCAATCTGTTGTACGCGCCGCACCGAAACACGAAAAACAACGACAGCAAGAGCCCTCTGCCTCCACTCCTCCCCAACCTGTACGCGAGACCTCAGGACAACACCAAACACCGCAACACTGCCAGAGTTTAACATGTTAGACGACCACACTTGTTAATCGTCATCATCCAACGGCACGACTTCAAATACTCTGGGACACATGATGACACCACACGAGTCTCCGAATCGTCGCATACGGCACAACCCATCTATCCATCCCTGTCGCCCTCCAACTTGTAGACTCCCAAATCGACCATGCGTAGGCGTCCAACGAAGCGAGGCAAGAAAGACTACCAACCGAAAATTGGCTAAACAGAGCCCCGCTCCCTTCCCTGCTCTTCCCGCAGGGAGCTCTGCTTGGTCTGCATGCATGCCAGTTTCACATACTCAGGCCCTCGCCGAAGTCCATCTCTAGCCCGGAACCCTTCATTTGCTCCCGGTAGAGGCGATCGAACGCCTCCGACTCTCGCACTTTGAACACGTCGCGCCAGCCCCCTGCTCCCCCCTTTCGCAGGTGGTTGACTTCCTTCTGCGTGTTGGCATTGGCGCTGCTCTTCATCGCGGAGATCGTGGACGCGGCAACCGTCTGTTGCGGGTAGCGGGGGCGAAGAAGAACAACAAACGTCCGGAAGAGAGCCACAAGGTAGGCAAACAACACGGTGGGAGTGGGGACTGGAGGGTGGCAAGAGAAGCAAGGGCGCTGGTCAAGCGAGAGACTTGACCTGAAATAACTACGAGGCAAAGAAAAACAAGCATTTCTGTTGGACAACACACATGATGAGGACACGAAGAAACGAAAATACGACGACGGGTGGAAGTGAAGACAAGGATGGTCTCAGGAAAGTTGGGATGCTTATGTGTCACAAGCAGAACAGGGGCAGTGTAGGAGGAAATCGGAGGGAACCAAAGAAGACAAAACCGGATGAACGCGAAGAGCGAGCAGCGGTCGGAGAGAAACAACAAACCGCGACAATAGGAAGTCAGGAACGGAAATGTCTGAACGATGTGATAGAAGATGCGAAGTTCTGGGCTGAAATTTTCGACCAGGGATTTTCCCCAGAATCCAGAAAGGAACCAGGGGTAGACGCCTCATGGTTCGGAGACAGAGGGTGAGAGAGACTGCCCGGCATGCCTCATGTGGCAAGGCGGGCGATGCACAACAACCTACACTTTGGAGTTTGAGGCGCGCTTGGAGAAAGGGGTAACTCTGAAAACAACTTCGAGAAATTACGAAACAGAGAATGAGACGATGCAATTGCAAGGAGGGTACTCGTCCGCAACAGCGCCAGTAAAAAAAAACTGAATTCATGGGGCAATCCGAAACTGCCGGCCCATGAAACACAAAAAGAGAGGCGCGGAAGGCGCCCCAACGCTAGCCGTTCCGCTGTGTTGGTGGTACTCAACCGCAGTGCTCTCTCTTTATATCTGCCTCGGAAGGGAAGGGTAGCCTGTGGCCAAAAATATTCTTGAGGAAGGGACGGGTGGTCGGTGGTCAGAACATACTTGAGGGCAAAACGACCGCCCCCTTCCTGCCCCCCCCCCCCCCCCCC